GGTAGGTAACAGTAGCCTTACCAAACTCACACTTGGACAAGTTAAGGGTAAGAGAGGCATCTGCCAGACGCTGGAGTACGGTTTCCAGACTGGACCTGTGACTCTCCCACTCATCAGAGTAGACCACCACATCGTCAAGATACACACTGTAGTTAGGTACATCTCCTAATACCCGCTGCATAAAGCGCTGAAAAGTGGCAGGCGCGTTCTTCGTGCTGAAGGGCATCACTGTGTACTGCATAAACGCATCAGGCGTGACAAAAGCTGATATGTCAGAAGCTTGCTGTGTCAAAGGAACCTGCCAGTATCCTTTGAGTAGGTCAAGCTTTGAAATACACACAGCTGGTCCAACTCTGTCAACACAGTCATCCATTCGGGGTAAGGGGAAAGAGTCCGCCACAGTAACCGCATTCACTTTGCAAAAATCTGTGCAGAAGCGAGGACTACCGTCAGACTTTAGCGCCAACAAGCACGGAGAACTCCAGGGACTATAGCTGGGCCTAGCAAGACCATTTTCTACCAGGTAATGAACCTCTTTCCTCATGGCCTCCCTTTTAGCTAGTGGACAGCGGTATGCGTGCTGCTTTATGAGAACGGCATCGCCCACATCAATATTGTGCTCTAGCACACTTGTACGTGATGGTACATCTTGTAAAATACTAGAATACCTGCCAACCAAGTTTATCACATCCTGTTTATGAAGCTGCTGGTCGATTGTAGACAAGAACTCAGAGTTAGCTAGCCTACCACACAGATGACCTTCACAGGGTGTCATCAAGTCAATCTCCAACTCAGCCTGAGCACCAACAAGAGAAGAAACCCCTACCACAGCAATGTCTGGGGTCTTCTCTGGCCCTCTCAGGTCAGCTTCTTTGGGATGAAAGGATTTCAGCATGTTAACATGACACAAACGTGTCTTCCGTCTACGCTCAGGTGTACGGATAACATAATCTGTATCTGAAACTTTACCTTACCACCACGTACGGACCTGAGAACTGGGCGGCAAGAGCATAGCCAGGTGTGGGCAGCAAGAACAGCACTTTATCCCCTGCGCCGAACTGTCGCTCGACTGCCTTCTTGTCAAAGCGTCTCTTCATGTTGACATGAGAGGAAGAGAGTGACTCCTTGGCTCGCTTTGTAGCCTTGTGCAGACGCTCTCTACAGCTGGTTACAAAATCAGACACATTTTCACAAGAGTTATCACCCACTAGCTTCTCTTTCAACACTTTCAAGGGGCCACGCACATTGTGACCGAACACTAGTTCTGCTGGGCTAAACCCTAGGGACTCCTGCTTTGCATCACGAATAGCAAAGAGAACAAAAGGCACACCCTCATCCCAGTCATTACCAGTCTCATAACAGTACTTTTTCAGCATTGACTTCAAAGTCTAGTGCCATCGCTCAAGCGCACCCTGCGACTCCGGATGATATGCACTGGATACAGAGTGGGAAATACCGAGAGACTGGAGAGTCTGCTTGGAAACCCGGGACAGGAAGTTTGTTCCCTGATCCGTCTGTACTGTCTTTGGCAGTCCGTAAGTCGTGAAGAACTTAATCAACGCTTTGGTGACTGCCCTCACACTAGCAAAGCAGAGGCAGCACATTGGGCCATATCAAAATATCAAACAGATAAACCTACCGCAACAGACCATGATAAATGTGTGGGCAAACAAAAGGATCCCGGACGAACCCCCAAAACTTTTACGTCCCTAAAGGTGTCTAGGGGTGGAGGACGTAAACAAGTTAAAATAATAACCCGGGAGATCTGGATCAAAGGCAAAACAAGGATATTTAATGAAGGAAAACCACACAACTTAAAACAATCTCCAAAGGAAGACAAGTACAGCGTATGGCTTCTTCTGGCAACCTCTCTGGTTCCGCTCTGGCTTCCACTGAAGCCACCACCCGCTCTGGCTTGGCACAGCCATTTCAGGAAACATTTATTGGCCAAAATATGTCAAACATACAAGGAATTTGTCTTGGCGGTTAGTGCGCGACAGTAGACAGACAAGACAACAGTGCACAGGTAATAAAATAAAGTGGAATGAAATGCTAATGCAATGGGTTAGTAAGAATAAGGCTAAGGCTATGGGTTAGTATAAAACAAGGGAATAAAGTTAAACAAATTTTAAAAATTAAAAAGTTAAAAAGAAAAGTATTAAGCATAAAGTGCACTAACAAACAAGTAACAGACAAGAGACAAAGTGACAAGTGACAAAGTGATGAATTGCAGTTAAAGTGGCATGTGCAGTATGAGGGGGAGTGACCGGTGGAGTGTTATAGTCAGGCAGTGGGGGACCGGGCTCTGTTGATGAGCCCGACTGCCGACGGGAAGAAACTGTTCGTGTGGCGGGAGGTCGTAGTCCTGATGGACCTCAGCCTCCTGCCAGATGGAAGGGGCACAAACAGTTTATGTCCGGGGTGGGAGGGGTCGGCCGCGATCTTTTTAGCTCGCTTCAGAGACCTGGAAGCGAACAAGTCCTCCAGGGACGGCAGATTGCAGCCGATCACCCTCTCTGCAGAGCGGATGACACGCTGCAGCCTGCCCTTGTCCTTGGCTGTGGCTGCAGCGTACCAGACGGTGATGGAGGAGCAGAGGATGGACTCGATGATGGCCGTGTAGAAGTGGACCATCATCGTCTTTGGCAGGTTGAGTTTCTTCAGCTGCCTCAGGAAGAACCACCTCTGCTGAGCCTTCTTGGTGATGGAGCTGATGTTCAGCTCCCACTTGAGGTCCTGGGTGATGATGGAGCCCAGGAAACGGAAGGAATCCACAATAGTGACGGGGGAGTCACACAGGGTGATGGGGGAGGTTGGGGCTCTGTTCCGCCGGAAATCCACAACCATCTCCACTGTCTTTAGAGCGTTGAGCTCCAGGTTGTTCTGGCTGCACCACGACACCAGATGGTCAGACTCCCACCTGTAGGCGGACTCGTCCCCACCAGAGATTAGTCCAATGAGGGTGGTGTCATCCGCAAACTTCAGGAGCTTGACGGACTGGTGGCTGGAGGTGCAGCTGTTGGTGTACAGGGAGAAGAGCAGAGGGGAAAGAACGCAGCCTTGGGGGGAACCGGTGCTGATGGTCCGAGAGGCTGAGACATGTTTCCCCAGCTTCACGTGCTGCTTCCTGTCAGACAGGAAGTCTGTGATCCACTTACAGGTGGAGTCGGGCACGTGCAGCTGGGAGAGTTTGTCCTGCAGCAGAGACGGGATGATAGTGTTAAAAGCAGAGCTGAAGTCCACAAACAGGATCCTGGCGTAGGTTCCTGGGGAGTCCAGATGCTGGAGGATGTAGTGGAGGGCCATGTTGACAGCATCGTCCACAGACCTGTTGGCTCTGTAGGCGAACTGCAGGGGGTCCAGGAGGGGGTCGGTGAGGGACTTCAGGTGGGACAGGACTAGCCGTTCAAAAGACTTCATGACTACAGAGGTCAGGGCGACGGGCCTGTAGTCATTGAGTCCTGTGATCCTGGGCTTCTTGGGGACAGGGATGATGGTGGAGGCCTTGAAGCAGGCTGGTACGTGGCATGTCTCCAGGGAGGTGTTGAAGATGTCAGTGAACACCGGAGACAGCTGGTCAGCACAATGCTTCAGGGAGTGAGGGGAAACGGAGTCCGGACCGGCTGCCTTACGGGGATTTAGTCTTCTAAAGAGCCGGTTAACGTCTCTCTCCAGAATAGAGAGGGTCGTTGCTGGTGGGGGAGGGGAAGGTGATAATGATGAAGAGGCGTGAGCACCTGATGGGCTGGGGGAGGGAGGGGAGGGGGACTGCAGCAGGTTGGTGGAGCTGTGGGGGATGGGATCAGGACATTGTCTTTCAAATCTGCAGTAGAACTCATTGAGCTCGTCTGCCAGGCGGAGGTCATTCATGGAGTGGGGGGTTTTTGGCTTGTAGTTGGTGAGGTGTTTGAGGCCTCTCCAAACCGAAGCAGAGTCACTTGCTGAGAACTGTTGTTGGAGTTTCTCAGAGTACAGTCGTTTAGCGTCTCTCACCGCCTTGCTAAACCTGTATTTTGCCTCTGTGTACAAGTCTTTGTCCCCGCTCCTAAATGCCTGATCCTTCTGCAGGCGTAGTGTTCTGAGTTCCGCTGTGAACCAGGGTTTGTCGTTGTTGTAACTCACCCTGGTGCATGATGGTACACAGCTGTCCTCACAGAAGCCGATGTAGGAAGTTACAGCCTCTGTGAACTCATCCAGACTGTCAGTAGCAGTCCTGAAACCATCCCAGTCTGTGCAGTCAAAGCACGCCCGAAGATCCTCCAGCGCCTCACTGGTCCACTTCTTGAATTCCCTCACCACAGGTTTGCAGAGCTTTAGTTTCTGCCTGTATGCAGGAATCAGATGGACCATGACGTGGTCAGAGTGTCCCAGTGCAGCACGGGGGACGGCGTGATAAGCCCTGCTGATTGTGGTGTAACAGTGATCCAGCGTGTTTAATCCCCTTCTGATCAGCTGCAGGAGTGACATCGCCAGCACACCTGAAGGAAATCACACCCACTCTCACACACACACACACACACACACAGGCGCAAACACGGCACGTAACAGTGAGACTCAGCCGGCGATGGGATTGCTGCGCAGAGGCGGCCTGCAGTACTACTTTCCCAGGAAGGGGTTGCCATGGGGACCCAGAGTCCTGCTTTGGAAACAAGGATTTCCGCATACCATTTATGGAAGTGAACACGAGAGCTGGGGATGATCACCAAACTGGAGCTCAGGGGTGTCTGAGGTTATGTTTAAGGACTACGAGAAGAGCACCGTTCATGTTTTGTGACAGAGATGAAAAGGGAATACCTCAGTTTGCCTCAGTGGTTTCCTGTCGGAGAAAGCAGCCATGTCAAGTACGTCCTTGTGTGGGCCTATTAATAGCAACACATCTCCCTGTCGGTAGGACATCACTACGTTACTGACGCTCTGATTCAGCTCTCACTCACCCGAGTCTCCCTTTGTATACTCCTGTTAAACTTCTTCCCTTCTCCTCCTTTTGCTCTCCCTCTCAGATGTCTACCAAGGAGAAGCTGATCAGCCACGTGATGAAGGAAGAGCCCGTCGCCAGCGCAAACAAAGTGACGGTGGTGGGTGTCGGCATGGTCGGCATGGCCTGTGCCATCAGCGTGCTGCTCAAGGTGAGTGAACGAGCTGAGGGATGTGTGTGTGAATGTGCAGCCATTACAGTATCGAGGTGTAAGGAGGTTTGAATAAACTCTTAAATGATGAATGGAGTAATACAAATTGAGAAGAAAAAATAAAAGGTCTCTGAATTTAGAAAGACTTATGCTGCCTTGTGGTATCCGGCTCTGCAATGCTGTTTTACAAGTAATTCTATGCACAAATTCAGGACTTGTGTGACGAGCTGGCCCTTGTTGACGTGATGGAGGACAAGTTGAAAGGCGAGATCATGGACCTGCAGCACGGGTCCCTTTTCCTCAAGACGCACAAGATCGTAGCAGACAAAGGTGAGAATGTGCAACCTGGAAGAGCTTGGTTTTTCTTTTTTTTTCACATCCCGAAGCGCCATGACAACGTCTGTCCTTCTGTCAATGTGTCAGACTACAGTGTGACGGCCAACTCCAAATTGGTGGTAGTGACGGCCGGCGCCCGCCAACAGGAGGGCGAGAGCCGCCTCAACCTGGTGCAGCGCAACGTCAACATCTTCAAGTTCATCATCCCCAACATCGTCAAGCACAGCCCCAACTGCATCATCCTGGTGGTCTCCAACCCAGGTTAGAAGGAAATGTGGCGAGGAGGTGCGGCTTCAAACGGTCGCAGATTGTTGGTGCTCATCATTTTCTTGACCCTCCAGTGGACATCCTGACGTATGTGGCGTGGAAGCTGAGCGGCTTCCCCCGTCACCGCGTCATCGGCTCCGGCACCAACCTGGACTCGGCCCGCTTCCGCCACCTGATGGGAGAGAAGCTCAACATCCACCCTTCCAGCTGCCACGGCTGGATCATCGGCGAGCACGGGGACTCCAGTGGTGCGTAGTCTCTGACTACAGACCAAATCGCACATCAACCTCAACTACGTGTTTTATTCCCCCGCGTTTAGAGTTCGGGGGTCACGATAATTCTTTTTTGCATCCATTTATGTGTCTGCTGTGTCTCTCACAGTGCCCGTGTGGAGCGGCGTGAATGTCGCCGGAGTTTCTCTGCAGGGCCTCAACCCGCAGATGGGGACCGAGGGCGACAGCGAGAACTGGAAGGCCGTGCATAAGGAGGTGGTCGACGGGTGAGTAAAACACCAGAAACCCTCCCTCTCTTCCTCTAGCCCACCCTGCAAACCACATTCTTTCCTAGACTCTCGTCATGCACATGGTGAGCGATTTGCACCGGGCTTTGGGCCAAATGACCAGCGTCCGGTGCCGCGCTCACAGCGCCTGGCTTCAAACACAATGGCTGTGCTCTGTCACGTGATACTGTGGCCCTGTGCCCGTGGGCTCACCTTTTGCGCCCACGTCTGCATTCATGAAGCGGCGGGCAACATAAAACGCTTTTGAAAGGCGGTTTCACCGTAAACAGACGACTTTATCCATGCAACCCAATAAACGTTGCTACACTTGTTGAACTTTGCTATCGTACCAATATATCCCCCGTCCGGCGACCCGACTTATCTTGCAGAGATAGTCAGCCGTGTACGACACAAAGGAGGGCTTATCAAAGATCTCTGCAAAATAACTCGTGTGTATAATGAAAGATAGAGGGACAAAGGCGATGGGTGAATGGATGTCTAAACAGAACCAAGATCAGCAAAGGGGCCTGACACCACATCTTCATGGCCACTAGAGCAGCCTTAGTTCACATGGGGTCGTCGTGGCGCAAGGGTTAGAGAAGGTGTGCTGGGCACAAGGTTGGTGGTTCGAGTCCAGGCTGCCCCATGTTCCATGTCGAAGTGTCCCTGAGCAAGACACCTAACCCCTAATTGCTCCCCAGGCAAAAATGTGAAAAAGCCATGGGTTTAAAGTGTAATGTAAGTCGCTTTGGATAAAGGCGTCTGCTAAATGACCTGTAATGTAATGTAATAATGGTGGCTTTTATTATTGAATTAATGTTTGACGTTATTAAGTGTATGGGGGGGAAAAAAAGAAGACCTTGATGTACGTCCTCTTTATTTCAAACGCATATAGGAAATTGCACTGACAAACTCAAACCGCGCAGCCCATTTGAATGTTTTGGTGTTCAGGCATCGAAGACACAGGTTCATTATTCATCACCCTGCACAGATCGAGATCAGCACAGCAAAGATGGGGGACGGACAACTGTCAACTCCCACCCAGTGTTAATTTCGTTGACGAAAACTATGACGAAAAATGTTCGTTAACCTTCGTTAACGAGAATAAGACGTGCCGAAAACGATCTTAAAAAATAAAAACTATGACTAAATCTATTCTAACTTTCGTTAACGAGACGAGACGAACATGTTGGTGGTTGACGAAGTCACGATACTTTTCCCCCTAAATTCGCCCGCAGCTGACAGATAACAGAGCGGTGTTCCGCGGGGGGGGGGATCGGCGGTGTTCCCCGGGGGGGTCGGCGGTGTTCCACGGGGGAGGGATCGGGAGGGATCAACAGTGTTCCGCGGGGGGGGGATTGGCCGTGTTCCACGGGGGGGATCGGCGGTGTTCCACGTGGAGGGGGGGTCGGCGGGGGGGGGGGGGGGGGGGGGGGGGGGGTCGGCGGTGTTCCACGGGGGGGGGGGGTCGGCGGTACAGTAGCACATCAGTGGCAAAAGTGGCAGTTCTGTGGCGTCACAAGAGGAATACTTGTTCTGAACTCGAACTACCAACTCAAGTTTCCAATTTAAATAAAACTTTTTTTCTTTACATGCAGCTCGGAGAGAAGAGAGCAAAAACAGCAGAAAGAAAGTTGACGCACTTTCAGTGAGTTTGGAGAGCAGTGAAGGTTAACAGAGCTTCAGATCTTCATGGATTAGAATAAAATGAATACGAAAATAATATTGATCCATTTGAAGATGTTTAAGTGAATTTACAAAAACACTTTTTTTGTAATATCACATTAATAGTTCAAAACGCAGATGGAGATTTGAAGTCAGATTTGAAGTTAGATTCAGCTGGAGTTGAATTCAGTCCTAGTATTGGCTCAAAAACCTACTTTGAAATAATAATAAAAAAAGAGAAAAGTATATTCTGCAAGTTATGTGATGATTTATTCTCGTTATGTTCAGTGAAGCATATAGCCCAACCAGCAGCACTGCAGGCACAGATGAGAAAGACCAACAGGTAATTGTTGTGCTAGATACATAGAATATATATATATACAGTCTTGTTGAAATATAATGGATTGCTTTTTTATTGTTTCATATTTTATAGTCAACGTTAATTAAAAATGTATATATTTAAAATGTATGCCTTTTTTTATGATACTCCTTTTCTTCAAATGCAGAATGAGAGCAAAATGAAAATGCTGGAACACACCTGGTGTGTGGTTGCAGACAAAAGCATTTAAGGGGAAGGTAACCTTGCCTGAAATTACCAACATGGACAGAGGCAACCAGCTTCGAGCATTGCAAGACCTCAAGAACTCTATGCATGAAAATGAGGACGACGCAGACACACCGCTAAATGTCTTTGTCGTGGAATTCCAGTACAAAAGTGACTACGAAATGTTTGTGGCACAGTTTATTGACAAGGGCTACAAAGTCAATGCTTTGTTCAAAGAGTGGGAATAGTTCAGTTTTTTAAATTTATTTTCAGGTTGTTTTTACATGTTTATATTATTTATTGTTAATGTTCTTTTTGTTTACATTTGTTATTTCATATATATATATATATTCATATATATATATATATATATATATATATATTCATATATATATATATATATATATATATATATATTCATATATATAAATATATATCCTTCCTGACAGTCTCTGCGTCTCATTTAATTCTTCTAATTTATGACAACTTCAGCTCTATTGATTAGGCAAATATTAATGCTTTCATGTGTAACTGAATTTCTGTTCCAATAGCACTTTTCATTGAAAACATAACAGAATAAAATAACCTTAAAAAGAGTATTTTTGGAATAAATTCTAACATCTAGAGGTATTATTGTGGCAGCTTGGATATCATCTGACAAGTGGCAATAGGAAAAATAAGTGCAAGTCCTAGGATAACAAAACAACATGCTCAACAAACCCAATAAATTGAAAAACAAAACCCCACTCAAGTCAATAAAAAACAAGAAACAGCTCGGCAGCCTCTCGGATCGAGTGTCGCTTTGAGGACTAACAGGTTGCCAATGAATTGCCACTGATGTGCCACTGATGTGCCACTGTGGCCACGAGTTGTGCCATTGAGTGCCACTATTGGCACTGAATTACACACCGCCGACCCCCCCAAGTTTCAAAAGCATTGCAAGTAAACAGACAAAGACAACAAAGTGTTGCGTTTAGGTCCCTGGTCCTCATGAAGTTGTTACACATTTGCCAATTTGTTAAATTGCCTTGCAAATAAATGCTTTGCTATTTGTTAAAATCCAAATCCTTTCATGTAATGATTTTTCACATGTCATTTATATTAGCTCACACAAACACTTCCACCATTTGTCCAAGTACTGCAAGCTAGACTATTATGTAGCTGTAGACACAACACAGGGGGTCCCTGGGCCTGAGAAGGGTAGAAAAGGAGTTTAATATGGCTGTTAAATGTGACTAAAACTAATTACATTTTAGTCTAGTTTTCGTCGACTAAAACTAAGAAGGATTAAAATGACTAAATGTGACTAAAACTAATATGCATTCTTTTGCTGCGTGTGCACTGCAGGGCCTACGAGGTGATCAGGCTGAAGGGCTACACTTCCTGGGCCATCGGTATGTCTGTGGCCAACCTGGTGGAAAGCATCCTGAAGAACCTGCATAAAGTGCACCCAGTGTCCACGCTGGTCCAGGTGAGGACGTTTAATACAACCTGCTAAAAATTCCTCATCGATACCTTTCATCAAAGACTCGTTGCGTGTCTTCCCCCCTCCACCCTGACCTTTGCCCGTGCTTCCTTCCCTCCATCAGGGCATGCACGGAGTGAAGGACGAGGTCTTCCTCAGCGTCCCCAGTGTCCTGGGCAACAGCGGCCTGACGGATGTGATCCACATGACGCTGAAGCCCGACGAGGAGAAGCAGCTGATGAGCAGCGCCGACACCCTGTGGGGCGTCCAGAAGGAGCTCGTCCTGTGAAGAGCGTTCCTTTGAATCTTCAGCAGTCAAGTGAAACCTCTGCGTGTTTGTAGCTAAACCTTTATATTATTTTTTTTAGATGTCCACATATAGGTGTCCCTTTGCTGCCTCACTCCTCCTATTCTCTTCTCCCCATGACTGAATCTAACTACCACCTTCAGCCTGTCTGATGGAAGGAGGTGTCCCTTGTGTTGTGTCGTCCACATAAAAACGCCTTTTCAGTTTGAGCGTTTACATTCTGTGTTCTGTCTGGTAAATGTACACTGTGGCTGTTTCTTCTGTACACTCCTTGTTGGTAGTTTATATTTATTCGGTTTTTCTCCACTTGGTGTTCTGTTTATTGGAGGTATAATGGAGTTGTTCTGTCCCCTGTGAGGAGGCCTTCATGTCCGGCTAGTCACAGTGAGCGGGGCCCCACATCCTGAAAGAACCAAAGTCTCTTTATCATTTGATAAAGGCAATTCTTCAAAGACTGTTTAACATTCAAGCTAGTAACACCACAAGTGTAATGACACAATTAAACACGACCTCTTGCATCTGAAACGTAAAATAATTTGACTCCGCAAAGAGAAAAGAGAACCAGTACTCTGCTACAGCCAAGGTTACGTTTTGAATGTCATAATCGTTGGGACTTGTTTGTTAGTGTACTCTAAACAACCTCGTGAGATTTGTATTTATTTTACTGCAACTAACTCTGGGAACGAGTTAATCAAGAGAAAATAATGGTATTTATAGTTGTTAATACTGTTGAGATCTATTTATGTATTACTGTTACAAGTCTAATAATCGGCAAACTCCCTGAGGAACTGAATCTGTCGTGGCAGCTGGGTAGTGTTTTTTTTTTTATTGCTGTTACATCCAATAAATCTGCCAGGATCACGATAAAAGTTTTTTTTTTTTCCTTCTCCTGTTTGACATGCAGATGTTTGTGTGAAGCCGACTGCCACTCCATGTGTCTGCAGATTGGGGGTTTTATGCAGGAGATCAAAATGTAATCATAGGTTCAATATGTGACACGGTGAACATTATAATAACGGCTGCTATGTGTGCTTACAAATAAGCAGTATTTAAAAAAATATATTGCTCCTGTGAGAAATATTAGATTATAGCAAGTTCACACGTAGGTTGACCCCGTGGTTTGGGTTTGTTCAACACTGTTAGAATATACGGTTTTGTTGGGCTTTTCAAGCTAATTGGAAATATATAAACAATATTGATCAAAGAAATTCACAGATGAATCAAATCAGTTGTCTTTTATTTGTACTGATTTACATAAATCTACAGATATAAAAAGAACAGGTGATCTACGGTTGAATTGGAAACGAGGAAGAAAAAAAAACATATTTTATCATACAATTCAAAGTGCATTTAGTAAAAGGTGAATTTAAATGACATGTTTGAAAACTTTACATCAACTTTTGATTAGTACAATACCTTATTTTGTGTACCTTCAAATGTGCTGGCTATATTCACTATTAATACTATTACTAACTATTTCCTTATTTTACTGGAAACCAAACCCCCTGGACAGGGCTGAGAATAAGTGGACAGAACAGGGAAAACAAATGAGTAAAGTCCTCTCCTTTTAAAGCCTGTCAAGACTTTCCTTCACCTCCAACAGAGACCTTGTACAGAGTAAAAGAACCACCGTACATGATTGACGGGTTAATGCAGTCAGACCTGATCAGCAAGAGACACGGAAACTGAAAACACAAATAGTGTGATCGAAGGGGGCTTAAAATGTACCCCATTGGAAGAAAAAAACGTCAATCACCTCTACTGTATGAAAAGTGATCCCTTTGACTCCCATCGCTCCTGAACATGAACCAGAATCATGCAGAAATAAATCCTAAAGCTGAACCCCGTGTCCTTCTTGAAAAGGTTGCCCTGGTTATTCATATCAGAGCCTAACCTTTCCATTGAGACGACTGGACATATGGGGCTCTCTACCAGCCCCCGACTATGTGTGCTTGCCAGCCGATTGAATGTGTAAAAACCTGCTGGCTCCCCATGCAGCGCAACATACACAGGTCAACACACTCAGACTCACTCTACGCCAATAGGCTCCCACCTCTCACACCCCCCCCCCTCCACAACGTGGTCACACAGTGTGTTTACATGATGGTATAACTGGAATCTTTGCGTAGTCGGACTATGCTATCTCTTGGGGGGAGGTGCTATTATCCCAATATACATGGCAGTGAATAAATCGAATCATGTCATATCCAATACGATAGGTGGCGCTGTTTTCATTACAACTAGTTGTGATACACCCATTTCCGCTTGACCGCTTCACCACTACCAACAACAACCAACAACAACATCAACATTACGAGAAAGATGGCGAACGGAGAGCAAGGTGAAGCTACGTCCCTCTACTATGTGTGCATGATGTTAATAGGAGCACAGCGAATGGCGCTAGCGGCTGATTTGATAACGGAGAGAAGACGCCGTCGGGATCTCAAGCATGCGCAAAGACGCAACGTCCAGTTCCTTATCCGATTCACCGTTACATGCCGCAATGGTCGAACTATCAACTGGATCGGATGGAGTTATCGAGGGGTGTTGGTCGGATCGTAGTCGGACCGCACATAGTCGGACAAAGGTGTTTACATGAAACAGATAATTCGATTTCAGTCCGACTAAGCCAGTTATTCGAATCCATGTAACCACGCTGAATGTGGTTTGTAACATTGGAGCAAAAGGGGCAGCGACTGATGATCAAAATACAAATGAAGTCTTATCAGAGCGGTGCCAACACAGGACAGCACAGTTGTACATGATGTGTGTTTTTAATCATTCTCTGTTGTTGTTGATCAGATTGCTATCTTACACAAACAGATTTTTACCGAGATTAAAACTAGAAGAGTTGCAAGAGGACATTTAAAAAAGGGGGAATAAAACAGAAGAGGAGGGAGAAGGTAGGAGAGAGTGAAAATATGTAGTTTTCCTTTATAGTCAGTGCGGGTCAGTAGAGGTCACTCAGACCGGCCGTCTTGCGGGCTTTCTGCATGAGGGCCCGGAGCTGGAACTGCTTCCTGGACAGGAGGCGGACGTGCTGGAACAAAAGAGAAGAAGAGTCGTCGATGCTCCTTACGCCTCAAGGACATTTTCGTCGAGCACTGACCACCGCCAAAATACGTGTGACCTACACCCAATAGTGTGGACCCAGATTGGAGAGACATTACGATGTAGTTGCGTTGGCGTGGTTACCTTAAGGAACACCTCAAGGTCTATTACCCCCCTGCGAAGGGCTTCTCCGAGGTAAAAGATCGTGTCCTCTATGGCGTTCTCTTCAGCGTACAGGTTCAGGATCTGCTTGTAGAGCGGAGCAGTGGGCACGATGACGTCGTCAATGTCGTTGTTCTCCGACTGGTTCTCCATCTTCTCCAAGGCCTCGCTCAGCTCCTCGTCCTTTCTCTTCAGCAGCTCGATGTTCCTGTCGACCTCGGTCTGACGGAAACACCACCGTCACAAACATGTCCATTAACACAAATGTAAGTGCAAGAAGAGGACTTCTCACCACTTCTTGGTCCAGTCTGGAGACCATCTCCTCCAGCTTCTGGTGTCCTTTCTTCAGATCCTCCTCGGTCCGCTTCAGGGCGTCCAGCTCTGCCTGAGCTCTGTCCATTTCCTCCTTCATCCTCCAGCGAAGCTTGTCACTCACAGCTGATATCAGGGATGCGCGGATGGTGTCCTCGCCAATGGTGCCATCTCTGTTCGGACCTTCAGGAGAAGAAGATGAGGAGTGACGTTGGACAGCAAACTACACAAACAGTGTAGTAGTTTTTTCCCCCAAGGTCAGTCACATTAACTATTCCTTTATTGAAATCTTAATGACTATTTGGAAATTCAAAAATAAAGACCCATACCTATTTTATATAGCAAGTGCAGTGTATATATAGTGTTCTCGAAGATAGTATTGATTATCTGCTTTTGTGATTACAGAAGGAATAACTTTAGAGATGCTCACGCTGTACAAACTGGGATGTTTTCAGTACCACTACTAACAGTCTGGATGAGTAAGCGTCATACGTGGATTTCTGCTGCTAAACTCATGCCGCTATGGTCACAAACGGAGTAACTGACATGCATGTGGTTAAAGAGTGGAAATACAAGTTTAGCAAGGTGCTGTGAGAAAGTGCAACACCAGCTCTCACTAAGTGACCCGGCTTTGTGTCTAGAGTTCTCAGACCAACAAAAAGCCCAAAGCCCCCCCACACCACCATGAATGACCTCAACCCTGCGAACAAGTTCAAGGGGTCTTTACTGACGCTTTCAATGACAATGGCGCAGTCCTGAGCCCACCCCCCCCAACAAGCTCTAGACCACCAGGGCTGCTTTTTCCAGCTCGGCAGGCGTCTCACACTCAAACCCCCCCCCCACTCCCACACAACCTACATCCTCACCACAGCTCCCCCCGAAAGCAGCCCACCCAGACTGTCTTTTTATTTTATTAATCACAAACCAAAGCCTCGAAAGCTGATAGATACGAGGTTATGTGAGAGTAAAGGCACCGATGAGTCTGTCCTCATAGGTCGAGACCACCTCATGTGAAGGTTGGAGTCAGCACAATAAATGTCAGAGTCGATGCCTTGAGACCTGAGCAGCGTACATGCAAACCCAGTCCTCCTCCTTCACTAAACATGGTACACGGCTACACGGGAGTCGCGCGGTTAGCTGATTTTGGGGCAACAGATGGGTCTCCGGATGGTAGGTCTGTCTTGTGTGCCGTCCTAAATATAAAACTGTGCCTAGAGTGTAGGGTGTGCCTTTCCCTCCTGATGCACCATACCCTTTGGCCTTTAATGCTCACCACTCTAGTTACACTAACGACCTTTCACTGGTGGTTCAGCGCCTTCCAAGTCACACAGGGGGCGAGAGGGTTTGAGTAAAAATACTAAACAACCTATCACAACGTTAAATAAGGGCAGCAACAAGGAGAAAGTGTAGTCTTGTCAGAGGTTCATTCAGTATTAAATCAAAACACAAAATAGGTAACGGAAACTGAAGAGTGCAGAAGATAACGGTTAGAGTGGACATATTCATTTGTATCTTTAGTGCTTAGTGCCAAATGTTAAACTTAAAACATTGAACCATGAAGGAAAAGTAAATCACCATCTTTACTAAATGTGATACTTACCAGCCGTGGATACTGGAGGCTGGGTGGGGTAGTGTGCAGGTCCACCAGGGGCCGGGTATGAGTTGCCCCCTGGGTATTGGTATCCTGGGTAGCCTCTGCAAATAGATTTATGGTTAAAATGAAATATTTCAATTGTTCCTATTTTCCATTTTAACCGCAACTTTTAGGTTGTAAACGTAACTGAGCTCGTCGCAAAGTGTTTCACTAATGAGAGGGCTTCTGTTTGGTATTCAGTGAGAAAATTTAAATGCCAGGAAAGGTTTGTCAGGAAGAACGACACGGATGAGTTATTACGGGGAGAGATTTGAGAACTTGATTGGCAAATATCGTACCCTGGGTTCGGAGTTGAGGCGTAGGGGGAGACTGCAGGCATGCCAGGCATATAGGAAGCTGAGATAGAGAGATGGAAAAACAATTCAATATTCTATGGACCGCTGTGGTGGTGTCTGAGCTCCATGTAGTGTGTAAGGAAGTAAATGCATCACTTAAACCGTCGTTTATAATGATGCAAAAATAATCATGTTATTGCAATGATTTCATGAACAAATCGTAGGCTTAATAACCATTATTGTGCCTCATTTGGCAGTACATGGTGAAAAGCTTAGCGCTAAAAAAGTTTTTAAGAAAGCTGATAATTCAACACTGAATATTTTAGAAGCTGCTTATGAATTGTATTGCTTTTTTTATATTAATATATATATATATAGATGACCATCATTCATATAAATTGTTGGCCTATCAGCAACAACTTTCAGTGTCCTAGGAGGCGTTCAGTGTGTTTTCTTACAAAGTGATACGGTGCAAGTAGAAATATTTAACGCCTGTGGTCCAGCCTGCTCTTATGCTGTATTGGTTGGTGCCATGTCCACTGAGATTGCCGTGCAACCCAACAAAAATTGATGTCACTCACGGTTAGGGGGTCCGGCAGCTTGGAACGCTTGATAGGGGGCTTGTGTGGTGGGGCGAGAAAACACAGGAGGCTCTTCTCCAAAAACCACAATCATCACCTGAATTAGACCATACAGGTCTGACTGAGGCTGTAATACATACAGGGAAGCGCACGTCTTCATCGAGCAAGACAACAAATGCAAAATGCAAAAATATAACTGTGCCGTTTAGTGCACACTAACTGGTAGACACGTTTGAAATTTTACCAGAAAGCTCCACTTAGCCTTACATTAGTGTTGTATGTCGCTGCTGCAGTGACGCCTCAAATCCTCTGTTACAGCATTATGCAAACAGTGGATATGTATAGCTTCATCTTTCTATGTTTTTGCATTTTCAACATTTCACGCTCCTCGGAAAACAGTCTGCAGTTACAAAGTGACTCGAGACCTCACACTTACATGCTTCCACTCATGGAGATAAGGCAGGTAGATCTTGCCGTTGGCGTCGATGTGCTTGCCAGTTTTGATCATCATTGCACTGGTAGGTTTGACAAAACATATGGGCGGGTTGTAGGGATACGTGTCCAGCAACCAGAGGCACACAGGAATGTTGTAGACATTGCCTTCAGGAAAAACAAACACCACGTTATAACGTTTGTATCTTCTTTTTTTTTTCTTTCTTAATATCAACATTGCCATCACGCCACTCTACACTCGAAGAACACTTTCTCAAAGTCTTTATTTTGTTTTCAAGTGCAATTCGGACCTCTACATGGAGCAAACATCAGAATGAGCATGTGCTGATGAAATGTACCTTTTAAAGGCTAAAATTGTGTCTTGATATCAAGTAAGATAATGTGTTAGTAATCCCAAACCCAAACTGGGTGGATGCTCACAATGAGATGTCTTATCAAAAGTCTCCTGAATGCAATTGAAGCCATGATGCCAGAACAGCAGGTCTCAATCATACTCTGGTTGAGGCAGGGATGACAGTTTAACTTTTAAAGAGTGGAAGATAAACAGAGCAAGCTACACTAGAGAATGATTCAATGAGCAAAGAAGCAAAACCAAACAGAAACTGACCGTCAACTTGTTATTCCCCAGTCTTTCATTTTCTACTTAGAAACTATACATTACGTTTTCTGTTTGTTATTATAGAGAAAACACATTTCAGAAATCAAGGTTATCGGTTTTTACCTCTGTAGCTCACTGGGACCGTTCCCGTCAGGCTCATCAGGTCTCTTGTGGAGCCATCATTGAACACTGAAATTCAACAAGGCCTCATGTCAACAAGCAAACCATTTGGTTATATGTCATTAGTTAGCAAACAATACCTCTATAAAACAGGATATGAGTATCATTTACCATAAGCATCCATGAGTGGCTTCAAGTCCTTGTACTGGAGGATGACGTTGGTTATCTCACGGACAGTCAGATCTCTGTATTTGTACTGCTGGAGAATGACAACAAAAGTTTAACAGGAAAAAAATGAGGTCATTTTTGGCTGAGCCCATAGTTAGCAGCTGTTTGCTGGCTGTCTGCATGTTGTGGAAGTCTCAAAATGAAAGTACAAACGCAGGGCTGGAACCTGCTCCCCCTTCCGCTGATGATGATGATAATAATAGCAACAACAACTTTACTTATATAGCACCTTGAAAAACACCACAGGTTACAAAAGTGCCATGATAAACGTAGCAGCAAAAGCAAGGCAATAAAATCAACAAAGAGCTTCAAAAATTGAGGTCAAACAGGCCACATAAAAATTTTTTAAAAAGCTGAGGGATCTGATGGCAAAAGCGCGGCTTCTTTATTTTCAGCCTTGATTTTGCCAGCAGGAGCCCACCTAAAGATCCATTCTCCGTGCTGGCTTATTGGGGGTCAATACTGCTTCTATATATTTATGGGTTACACCGATACCTTAAAAGGTAATGCTAAAACAAACGGGCCGTGAAGAAAAGCCAGTGGGATGTTGTCTGTTAAAAGCAGTGAGAACACACTTAAATCTGGGTTAAACAATTTCATTCTGATCCTGTACACAATTTGATTGAAACCCATCATACGGCCATCAACTGTGTGATCAACTGACGTAAACATAATGCTTAAATTTAATCTGTAAACGAAACGTAAATTATGAACATCAATAACGCTCTACTTAATCAAAAAAGGCTGATTATCCCAGAACTGCATACATATTTTTTAGAAAGAAACACAAGATATATTATTAATAGTACAAGATATTCAATAAAATGTAGATTACTGCATGTATTTATAAGACGAACATGACGAACAACAAAGGGGTATTTGTTGAGGTGGGAAATATATAAATCATAAATCTCAACATGTTTATAATGTTTTAATGACGTCAGCTTGTTTAGGTGCCTGTGCTATACGGTAAGAGGTAACGTGAGTATTTGAGTATTTGTGGAAAAGGGTCTCAGTTAAATATTCATTCTTACGAAAGCATCTTACTAACTTACTTAAATGAAGACAAAATGCCGTCCGGCCATTAAACCTTCTAGGAAATGTTAACCTGCGGACGGTTCCAGTGTGTGGTATCGGTAACATTAAGTTAGCTAGCCAGCGGGCTACTGTTAGTCAGCTAGACACCGTAACACCTACCTTCAGCATTTTCTTTAGGGCACCTTCGTTCACGACTGCCATGGTGTTTGCACCTGTGTTTGTTACCGTTCCTGTTAGTGAGCAAGGTGAGTTAATGGCTGACGTTTGACGCAGCTAGACTGACAGCTAACACACGCTAAGGCTGGTTAGCAGGACTTCACGGAATGCTAGGCTAAAGTTAGCCCAGCCCGGGACCCGACAACAATCGTTCGGTGTCTATACGGAGCCCTCCACTCCAACACGACGACTCTTCTGTCAACGCGCTAAAATCTAGTCCAAAAATATTACAAAAAACAAACCAACGTAAGTTAGTAGTTAGTAGTTCCAGAAAGGGGGTGAAAAATAAGTATCCGATAGTCAACAAAACGAATTTCCGGCATTCCACCTGACTACTTCCGGTCTGCACGTCAGTAGTAGACGAGCTGTTCCGGTGTAGTCAGGTGACTTTCCTTTCGCGCACCATAAGGACAAAGGACGCAGTGTACCAAGCAATTATGCAAAACAAATATATTCTATTGAAGGTGTTTCACACCATAACTTTATTCACAATGGCTCGGCAGATGAAACGTTTGACAAAAGAAGTCACAACATTTTTAAAAACAGTAACTGAGAAATAGTTTTTCAAATCAACCGAAGAGTTATCAGATAGATTCACTGTCAAAATTAAATAAACAAAAAAATCGGATTAATTGGGCTGCATGGCTGTATTATTTAAATAACTGACTTTTTCACTCCAAAGTCCAAAATATGTGTAGATAAGAACATAGTAAATGCACAAGGGTACAGATAAGGCACCGTTTTATGAGATGCTTGTAAAGCATGTCAGTCTTTAGACAGAAAATCATTCAAATGTCATAGTAGCTTTGTTAAAATAAAATGCATATTGGAAAAAAAATCTAATACATTCATACCAAACTAGATATACACTCCCACAGACAATATATGGGTTAGTATAAAACAAGAGAATAAAGTTAAAGTTAAAAATTTAAAATATTTAAAAAGTTCAAAAAAAATATTAAGCATAAAGTGCACTAGCGAACAAGTAACAAAGTGACGAGTGACGACAAAGTGATAAATTACAGTTAAAGTGGCATGTGCAGTGTGAAGGGGAGTGACCGGTGGAGTGTTATAGTCAGGCAGTGGGGGACCGGCTCTGTTGATGAGCCCGACTGCCGACGGGAAGAAACTGTTCGTGTGGCGGGAGGTCTTAGTCCTGATGGACCTCAGCCTCCTGCCAGATGGAAGGGGCACAAACAGTTTTTGTCCGGGGTGAGAGGGGTCGGCCACGATCTTTTTAGCTCGCTTCAGAGACCTGGAAGCGAACAAGTCCTGCAGGGACGGCAGATTGCAGCCGATCACCCTCTCTGCAGAGCGGATGACACGCTGCAGCCTGCCCTTGTCCTTGGCTGTGGCTGCAGTGTACCAGAGGATGGACTCCATAATGGCCGTGTAGAAGTGGATCATCATCGTCTTTGGCAGGTTGAATTTCTTCAGGTGCCTCAGGAAGAACAACCTCTGCTGAGCCTTCTTGGTGATGGAGCTGAACCGGTGCTGATGGTCCGAGAGGCTGAGACATGTTTCCCCAGCTTCACATGCTGCTTCCTGTCAGACAGGAAGTCTGTGATCCACTTGCAGGTGGAGTCGGGCACGTGCAGCTGGGAGAGTTTGTCCTGCAGCAGAGACGGGATGATGGTGTTGAAGGCAGAGCTGAAGTCTGTCGGGGGAGAATTTGTTGAGGTGCATATTGTGAGAGTCTCAAGAACTCGTATGTGACCTTTCTTGTGAAACTCGTGACCTGACCTAGTCTACGATGAAATCCATATGTGGCTTGGACAGATCATATCATGTTCTTCTATTTACCTTTCTCCTCTGTTTTCCTGTCTGTCAAAATGATTGACTTGGTCCACTAAGAGAGGGTCGCGGAGGTTCCCGAAACAACATAGGGTTAGCATTCCTCGAACCTTCAGAGATGTATAAAAGCTCCTGGTTCCCCCCAGAAACTTTGTCAGATCTTCCTGCTCCTTTTGGGAGAAGGAACTTTCTGCCCCTTTCCAGCTGAATTGTAGTCATTTGACGTCTGTCTGTGCTTACGACTTGTGCTGATGATTTCTGTATTCTTTATCATTTTTCTATATTCTAGTTAGTTATAAATACTTAATCACAAAGCAAGCTCAAGATACTTTTGATTTCTCACATGGGCTAAATCCACAAATTTCCACCACAAACTTGGCGACGAGGATGGGATGAACGCGTGATCTGGACTCTGACGGACGGACAGGAGGCCATTTAGTATAGGTGATTCCTCCCTGAGGGTGAGAAGCTGCCGTCCCGACGAGACCTGGATTGCCGATCCATCCAGTTCAAGAAAAGAAACGAACAACACGCGGTGAGAAATCAAAATTATTTTAAGGCAGACAGAGTCATGACAAAAGGGTTTTAGGCCTATCTCACAACGAGTGTGTTGTAGACAGACGTGTCTGGGTCACCTGTAGTATTCGTCACAAGGTTGCAACATCCTGTGTCTCCTGAAAATTCACAGGCCAACTTGGGATAAGTGCAGTAGACTGAGTGACCAGAGAAAGCAACGGTCAACTGACTTGCCTTAGTTATGCATGTGGTATTTCTCCGTTTGTGCGCACCTTTATAGGCGCGTACACTCCTTGTATACAGATACAGATAGCTAAATGGGTAGTGTTCAGAGTAAAGGGGAGACGGGTGAAAACCATGAGACTAATATCCTGCCACCGTTGTGTAAATTTATGTCAGAGCGTTATCCTGGCAGTTTGAATCAAATACAAAAATGGGTTGAATTGGGGTTTCCTTCAAAGGGGAGTTTTGAGTGAGAATCAATTGGAACAGTTGGAATTGCAACTGAGGGAAAAGGAGAAGAACGATGCAGCTCAGCATGCAGACCTGTCGAGAAGAAAGCAGAAGAAGAATGTGGTATGTAAGGCAGATTGGGAAGCTTTCAAGCTGTGGAAGTATGAGTCGGAGAGAAGGGAGAGACAGAGGTTGGTAGCATTTCATTCATTAAAGACCGAAGATCCTACATAAGGTTATGAAATGTGTACCCCTTCTAACCCAAAAACACTTTATCCTTGTTTTTATGAGTTCCTGAGGAGATTGGTGGACACGGATCTGGACTCCCCCCCTCCCCTCACTGCTCCTCCAGCTCCCGCCTTCATGAGCCCACAGTCTCCACGGCAGGAAGCAGCACAAGCAAACTTTCCTCGGCTTGACAACAGCCCACCAGGAGGGAAGCCAGATTCAACCTCCAGCACCAGCCAGACGACCTTTTCACCCACTATGACCCGCTCGCAGGCTCAACAAAGGCGGGCCTTGCTAAGAGGAAAACAGGAGGCATTGTCTGATCCTGAAGCATCTTTTCCAATGGTAGAAGTGGCGGGTGCACAAGGGACGATGTTGGTGTTCAGACCCTGGTCCGACACCGACGTGGCCGAAGCAATGAGCCACGTTTGCAATCCTAAGGATAATCTTGCTAAGTGGGAGACTGATCTGAAGCAATTTGTCAGAGAATACCGTCCTAGCATGTCAGAGCTGCGGCGTCTGATGTGCAGACTTCTGAAACATGACTATCACAGAGTTCAAGATGTGTTCACCACCACAAGAATGGCTGCTCGCCTTAAAGATCCTGATTATGAGAATGACACAAACGCGGCCTTTAGAAACGCTGTTGATGCTCTCGTTGTGTTGGTAAAAGAACAAGTTCCTCTGAGACTGAACCTTTCCACCATCACTTCTATGATACAAGGGCCACAAGAAACATGCAGCTCCTTCCTGGCACGCCTGACGACAGCTTTTGACATCCACAGTGGCCTTAAGCGACCTGATCCAATGGGGGCACAGCCCCTAATGCCATATGAAGTCCATCTGAAAGAACATTTTATAAGCAGAATGAGACCTGAGCTTATACGGATGGTGAAAAGATCATGTGTAACCTGGAAAACGTGTGCTCTTGCAGACATCCTTCAGCACGCTGAACACACTGAAGATGAGTTACACAAGAAAGAGGACAAACTAAAAGGTTTTGAAAAGGCTCAGTATGCGATGTTTACGTGCTTGCAGTGCCAACAATTTGCCCAAGGCCAACGTGGAAGAGGAAGAGGTTATGGAAGAGCTCGTGGCAGATCAGATCGGACTTACGGGAGTTATGATCCAAACGTGTGTTACAATTGTGGACAACAAGGACATTGGCGAGCAGAGTGTCCTGAGCACATGAGGAAGAGACACATCACACGTCTGACTGAGGGAGGCAGAGGGAGGGGCGGACCCCAGAGCCGGAGCACCCCATCACGATGAGAAAGTAACACACCCTACACAAGCTCATAAACGAAACAAATAGCTAACACAACTACACACACACACACACACATCTTAGATTACAGGTCGAGTAACTAACTCATTTTTATATTTAGAAATTCCCATAATTGACATTGATGATTTCTTGCCATCCGGTAACGCTTGTAGTTGACTCAAGAGCATTTGGCATTGTGTTTGAGCTCAACATCAGATGACATTTACAAAAAAAAAAAGTTAGGCCTGTTGCCTACTTCTCCTCAAAACTTGACCCTGTTGCTTCGGGTCTTCCTCTCTGTTTGCGAGCAGTGGCGGCAGCCGAGAGAGAGATTTTAGCATCATGTGACATTATAGGCTACTGTGATGTGACACTTATGGTCCCACATGCTGTCTCCCATATCTTACATGCCCAGAAGATTTCTCACCTCTCTGCTCAGAGATGGTTCAGGTGTCATACGACATTGTTAGAACTGCCTAACGTAATTGTCAAACGATGCGATGTCCTTAACCCAGCTACACTTCTTCTAACTGCAGATGATGGAGAGCCTCATGATTGTGTCGAAGTCTTGCAGCAGACTTGCATACCAAGGCCTGATCTGTTGGACACACCTCTTCCCAATGCAGATCTTGAGCTGTTTGTGGACGGCTCCGCTTCTCGCTCACCCGAAACAGGCAGCGGCCAGGAAACAAAGGAGCGGATGCGGCAGCAAAGAAGGCAGCCTCACAGGGCTTCCTTTTCCCCTTCACTCAAATGCTTTCCACACCGACCGATCCTAGTCCTTATGCCGATCTTCCCACACTTCAGTCTCTTGCCGGTGCAGAGGAGCGTTCCCTGTGGAAACGATCTGGTGCCATTCTTGAGGGCGGAATCTGGACAGGGCCGGACAGTAGGCCCTGTTTGCCACGTGCTCTCTTCCACATTTATGCTAAGTTGTCTCACGGAAGATATCACGTGGGCAAAGGGGGGATGTGCACTGCTATAAATGAGCATGCTGAGATATTGTGCTAACCTCTCCCCCTCACTGTCAGCACTGCACTGGGCAGGTAAAAGCGGCGCTTCCATCCCCGGCTACTGCAGTCCA